TTGTGATGAACTCGTATCTAGTGGCATGTATGAATCGAAATTATTTTAATATTATTATGATAGTTTAGAGCTTATTTGTGCAAATTGTGCATTGATGTCGTAGTCACTTAACACTACTTAACAAAGTAAAGTACAGGTGTATTAGTGCTCAAGACTTTTTGTGAACATTTCATGCAGGGCGAGCAATTCCAGCTTTTTGAGCATTTTGAATACAATATTTACCATTTTTCTGAGAACTTTTAAATATAATTTTCAATTTGTCCCAGACGAATTTATCAAGATGTAGTTACTAGAGCTGCGAAGTCAACTTTTTTGATTTAATTAAATCGCTTCAGTGTAAAGGCTGTCAAAATGATTGTTTATATTTTGTATTTTAGTTTATATTTTGCTTTTCATTTATTTACATTTTATTTGGATTTCTGATTGAAATTGTTAAAATTTTCAAAATAAATTTTTTTTGTTTTTTTTTTTCAATTAAAAAATATATATAGACCGTTGCTGTGCTGAGTTCTCTTTTTTTGCCGTCTGTAAAGAGGGGTACGGCTCCTTGATCGAGGGCGTTTGTTTTTTCTTATTAGTTCCTGTTTGGCATTCATGTTTGATTGATTGCCCAAGCAATCCGTTGTATTTTGTATGTACATATGTAGAACGGGGAGATTTATAATTTTTCCGAACTCGACAAGATGAAGGATCTACATATTTATGGATTCGTGTTGGCCAAAGAAATTTGAAAAAGGGTCTTGATATGCATACACCATTTTTTGAAAAGGAAATTACGTTTATAAAAAATATATCTTTCCAATACTAACTCTAAATAATAATTATTATCAATTACATATGTATATAAACCACAGCTGCCAAGACAGCGTTACAAAAACTAATTCCCTTCCAAAGAGCGAGCTAGTAAGAAGACACTCCCTAAAAGAAAACTACTCTACTTTTAATGCTATTTAAATTAGCAAACTTTGATTTTTAAGCTAACGAAATCAATTTTAATTATTTTCTTTTCTCTTTTCAGACTTTTATTTTAAATTATTGATTCTATTTGACAAAATTGTATGAATTTGCCATGATTTTGACTTGTTACACTGAGAACATAAACAAAATACACGGTAATTGTTGTATTTGTTTTACTCCTCTCCCCTTTATTAATTCGCCTTGATTTTGCCTATGCAAAGTGTAAGAGTCTCTGAAGTTCTAAAGAAATTTTGACAAACAAAATTGAAATTTGTAAATTTTCAAACTATCATTGGAGGAGTTAAGAAACGAACGGGTATTTAGCTGCTCACACTACTCGATACCCGGTTGTCTACAGCTCTAGTGTGTATTACTGAATTTAATGTGGGCGCTGGAATTCTTCGAAGTTCTCAGACTGATGGCATCCAATCGACCAGCTGTCATGACAAAAGACGCTCAACTGCAAGTGAGTACATCTAATGATTCACTGCACTGCATTTACATATTTGACAAATAATTACGAGTACACACATACTTATACATATGTACATACAAATGTATCTATTTTCAATTCGAGAATTGCTACCTGTATTCCTTCACACACTTTATAAATGTATGTATTTATTTCTACGTCTTTTTTCCCTATTTGACGATGCAGTAATTTTTACGTAAAATATGCACTTATATACATTCATATGTATGTATATACATATGTAATACATACAAACAAATAATAACAAATGTGTGGCTTTATTGTTGCTTTTCACTTATTTGTTTTCATTTAACGATCGATTTGTTGTTTGCTTATGCATATATATGTATAATGTATGTATGTTTGTTTGTACATTCATTCCGATCACGTTCGCCGGAATTAAATGGATCGCGACGATGCAAACTGACCGCCGCGCCGGCGGTGACTCTTAACATATGTAAATAATATGCCGCTAAGTACATATATACGTATGTATGTGCATACGAGTATGATGATATGAACCAAAGTAAAGTAGTAGAGATAAATTGAAGCTTTGCAATTGACTCATTTTACTGCACAGTCAGCGGTGTAAAATTACATTTGACTTTTGTTTTTATTTATTTTATATACAAACATGCATATGTATGTATATGTATGAATGTACATATATGTATGTATATACGTACGTCATATATGTACATGACTTTACTTGGAAGATCTTAATTACTAATTGTCTAGTTTGCTAGTGCCGCATAAATGTTTGTGTTTTCATGTTTGTATGTACATCTAGCTGAAGCTAAGTAATTGGTTTAAGTTTCAAATGGTATAACATAACTTTATTTCCCAGCATTTGTAGTGTAATTTTATCCAATAACTTTTTTATTTATTGTATATTATCATATAGTATTTTCATCTACATATGTGTGGGTGTTATTAAACTGAAAGCATACACGTGTATGTATGGGAATCACGTATGAAATGTCAATGTATTTTCTGAATTTAATTTATTTATGACTGTTTCTACTGTGTATTATTGATATATTTTTATGGTTATGTTTAATAGATATTTTCATATACATACGCATTAGTAGGTATGTACATATGTGAGTCTATGCTGAAAAACGCTCACGTAATTATTTATAGTTTATGTATAAAGGTTTATGTGTACTAGGCATGTTAATTCATACAAATAATACATTTTTTGAATCCATTTGTGTACGTGAAAAACAAAGTCTTTCCAAAGTTAGTGGATTTATGTGTGGAGTTTATTACAAACTTGCACTTGAAATATCAAAACTATAAAAATCTATTTTTCTGCGGTATTCGTCAATATTTCCTATTATACATTTGAAAGAAAAACCGACAAAATCTGATTAAGACTTCGAATTCCTCAAAAGCACGGAGATGTTTTCATAGTTTTGGTACAGTAAAACTTACATTGATTTATGCATTTCGCGGTTTAAAAAAAAAATAAACAAAATGCTTTTAAAATATTTTGTTCATGAATTTCCTTTTTTATTTTAAAGCTTGAACCTTGCCATTTTAGTATATGAAACATAACGTCATTCAAATGACTGCATCGTGATTTTTTGCAGCGAGTCTAAACGTTGGCGGTAATTTTCCACCACTTTTTAACACTTAATGGCCAGTATCTCAGCCGTAACTCACTTAATGTGGGTTTTCAAGTTATCAAAAATAAAAGGTTTATCGGCATAAACACGATTTTTCGCGCAGCTCCAGTAAAAAAACCAACGGCGAAAAGACGCAATATCTTTGTGGCCAATTAATATCGCCAAGGTGAGAGAAAATGCGGACAGAAAATTTCTCACAGAACTCGAAGAGCACACTAAAGGTGACTAACTATTTCAGTTGGCAAAAAAATTATTAATCCAAATTTGGTAATTTGACTATCAAAATAAAAAAGCCCATAGTCATTCCAGACGCAAGAGCAACTTGCAAAAGTATTAGGAGTTGATCATGCAACCGTTTCCAGACGATTAAAATCATTTTTTCACAATAAAGTCTTAATTTTCGAAAATAAAAACCGCACGAATTAATGCATACACCCAATAGGTTTAATGAAAGTATTTCCCTTGGCACGTATGTGGAAGAGTAAAATTTAAAAATTATAAATATTGTACACAAAAATATAATTTTTAAAATACTTATAAACACAAACTGTATAAAGCGATATTTACGAAAGTGGTGCCCAATCAAAATAAGTATATTGCGAACATCTTCAATAAGCAGACACCTCTTATAACTGGACAAAAGTTACGAAACCAAATATTTTATTGCGTTTTTAGAACTAATTCCACTCTAACAGCCGGCCACTCTAACAGCCGGACGAAGACACCTTTCTCCTATTTTTTTGTTGTTAACACCTCTCTTAACCGGAAGCGCACCTTGCGTTAGCGGATAAGTACCAAATGTTATTGAACAAAAGTGTGAACAAATCGGCAAAAACCTCCTATAAGCGGACGCAAAAATCTCATCGAAACTCCAATTTTATTAGTTTCGAACAAAGCCACTACCCACCCTCCATATACTAAGCTAGATTACATACAGTTGATAGTTCTACCTGCTAATAAATCACCCATATATCAGTCCATTGATCAGGGCATTATACATTAAATGTCATTATAGATGCAACATTATGAAGCATATGAATATTGACAAGATTAGGAGGCGTTCCGATGGAGAAACTTTAATAAGTTTTTGTCATTTTGGAAGATGGCCATTTTTTTAAATGTTCATGGGGCAACGTAACGACAGAAACTACTTGAACTGTTTTTCAAAAGTCGGTTTTAAAAAAACACCGTGAGAAATTACTGTTTTCGATGCAGAAGATGATATTCCCCTATCGTGGCTCCCGGCTTGGAGAAAGATTTTAGATGAAAATCGGCAAGAGCAGTATTCGGAAGACTTTTTGTAAATCGGTGAATTTTTTAATACAAAAGACATTAATATTGACATTGTCATTATCGAAATTTATACTGTTCAAATGTATAACGGAGAAACCGAAGACGAGAGTGAAGTACCTGTCCGCTATAAGAAGCAAATTATGTCATATTCTGAGGCATGGAGCAGCATCGTCGGATGAAAAACTCTTTTAGTGACGACATTATTGAAAAATGTTTTATAAAACAAAAATTGGAAAAATTGCAGCAAACTACGGTAGATGAATCTTTGAAAACTTATATATAAAACGATATGTTCAATTATACACTGAAGTTAAAAAAAAAAAAATAATTCAATTGATAGTTTAACATAAAAAAGTAATAAAATATTTATTTTAGACATGTGTTATTAAATTATACTATCAGTATTGTTCTCAACTCCCATAAGCGCACAAAAATTGTAGAACCGTGAGTGTCCGGTAGTGGAAAGTTTCACTGTGTATTCCAAAAATAGTAGTATTTGAAATTTTGCAGTTTATAGTTTAAAAAAACTGAGCTGAGTTTTTAGTCAATTTAATTTGAATTTATTTTTATATTGCCAATAAAATTTATTTATGAACTCGCTGCAGTAATTAATATTGAAAAAACGGAAAAGAGTTATAATAAATGAATAAAATAATAATAGTTATTTTGATTTAAAAATTAATGAAATTTGTGGAAGAATAAATTTTGTGATGCTCGAAATGTTCAAAACCCGATGAAATCTTGCAACTGCTTAAACAAGCCCAGAATGTAAGTTTGATAGACGTTACTACCAATAGTGAAATGCTAATGAAATGCAGCAAAATTGAACTATTTCTGTAGCGATTCATAATGCGCGGTAAGCTGCTACATTCTGACGGAACGTTCAATTCTAAGCTCTTCTGTCAACAATTAGCCAGCTTACAAAGAAAAGCGTTCAGAATTGATTAATAGAAAACACAGATCCTTTGAGGAAAGGTTTTAATAAATATATGTAAAAACGAGGCGGGAACTGGAAACAAATCGGCAGAATGCTAACCCGCGCTTCTCACCTTTCTTCGCTGCCTCAAAGTATATATCGTTATTCATCTCCATGGATTCGAAGTAAAATGCTCCACTGAAAGTGACCTTGAAAATTGTACGTCAACTTGAATTTTCAAAATTCCATTAAACTTAAAGCTAATTAGTGGAAAAACGAAAAACGTAACAACAGGTGTACAACAAATTTACAAACAACCAGTATTGCTGTTTCTTAACACCAATGTCCGAAGCAAGAAATTTGTGACAAAAAAGAAAGTGTGCAACTATTTATATAAAGACACAAAGAAGTATTCCTGTCCATACGTACATATATGTACATATGTAGTATTTATGTATGTGCGTCTATCAGCGTCGGGCATATATATGCTACGGCAAGAGACCAGCCAAGCCAACTAATTCACATGACCTCATATTCAAATCTACGAAACTTAGTGGCGACACTGACCGTTAGTAAATAAAAAGCCTGTTGCATGTGAAAAGAAACACGTTTGTGGAATGAACAGTTATTAACAAAAAAAAAAAAAAAAAAAAAAAAAAATAAAAAAAAAAAAAAAAAAAAAAAAAAAAACAATTAAAAATGAATAATAAAAATAAAATATAAGAAAAGCAAATAATATAAGATAATATAAAATAAAATATCTAAAATAAAAAAATAGAGCAAAGTAAAAGAAAAATAAAAAATTAGATTAAGAACAAAAAAACTAAAAATAAAATATTCCAATAATTTTTTAAAATGCATTTATGTAAATTATAGGTAAACAGAAGTTGTACAAACATACCTAAACCTAACGTCACATTTCAATGTTGACTAAATGAGAGCCAATTAGCAAAAGCTGGTTTTTATTAAACCAATAAGCGGTGCCGGTATCCGAGTGGTTAGCATTGCGTATTGCCATTCGAAAGGCCCAGGTTCAAATGCTGGTATAACCAACATCGAAAAGTTATTGAAAATTAATCTATAATATATTAAATGTATTCATTGCGGTCGCCCTTCAGCAGGGAATATCAACCCCTCCGAGTGTATTTCTGCCAAGAAATAAAGTCCCTCATAAAAAAACAATCAGCAGTTCGGAGGCGGCTTAGTATATACCACCATTAGTTGGAAAAAACATCAAGACGCAAAACTAAAAATTGGAGGAGGAGCTCGGCCAAAAATCACTTACACGGTTACACAGCGCCAATTAAATAAATATATATATATATATATATATATATATATATATATTATATTATAACAAAGTTGTCGTGTGCAATGTCGAGAGAGTGAGTTTTGCACAAAATTGTGCGCAGACAAGTAGCATGTACAATTAGCTAATTCATTTGTTACCGACGGTTAGTGCCGTTGTTGCTGCTATAGAGCCAGTTGGGTTTAGTTAAGTGAGTGGCACTTGCCAGCTGGTCTTAAGCAGCTCTGACCGAATCGTCGCTTTTACGCTTTACACTTAACAATAAACATTGTTGCGAGTAATATATGCAATGTATAAATGGATAAATGTGTGTATTTACGAGTTGTATGCACTAGTTCGCCAATTTTCCTTTCTTTATTATTATATTTATATTATATTCATAATTCGTTTATATGCCATATAAATTTTCATGATTATTATATATTATATGTATACTGGAAAAGCTGGTGTTTGTGGCACAGTTGTGATTTGAACGAGTTTAATGCAGCTACATAAAGCGAACATATACATATGTACATCTAAATATACAGACAGCCAGGTAAGTGAGTATAAGTTGATAAAAAGTGGGTTTGATTTGCTATTAGCCAGCGATATTGTCTTGAAGACTACTTAATTAAAATAATAAATTAAATTTAAATAAAACAAAATACAATAAAATATAATTAAAAAAATAAAGAAGAAATATCATATCACATAATACAAATTATTAAAATAAACGAAATTATAATTTATTGAAAAATAATAACAAATATACCTTTCATGAGGATGGGGATATACTCGTACATATGATAAAGTTTTCCGTCTACATAGATTAACGGTGTCATTATTTCTTTGCATCTACGTGTTAAGAACACCAAATTTCTCGCCCCTTATGCCTTTTGATGGATTTTTGAGTCTAAACTTCTAATAACTTGATTTTTGACGGAGTTCTGACCAAAGCAATTTCTGAAGAAATGGGTCTGTGGGAGCTATATTTTACAGTTTTCCGATTTGGATAATTAAAAAAATTGATGATTGTCGATTTTATACGCAAGAGTAAAAGTCTCTTCTTTCGGAGACTTTGGTGCCATCAACTTTTACAAACACCATACTCTAGAGGAGCTGGTTAGCCAGTTCCAGAGCTTTAGATATGGCCTGCCCAGCACGACTTCCGAGGGGCAAATTGAAACCACCATGATGGGACTCTGATCTGCGGTATTTATGGAAGGTGTGAAGAAAAACGCTTAACACAGCTTCTTTATCCTCTGATGAGGAGCTATGGGAGAAATATCGACAAAACCTAAAGGACTACAAGAAAACACTAAGAAAGACAAAAAGAAAGAAGCTCTTGGAGAAACCTTGGCAACAATATGTAGACAGCGACAGAACGGAAAATACTTTCATTCACCCCCCGTTCAGTGCCGCGATTGCTTGCAAAGGCTTGTCGGAACGAAGGAAACCCTCGATCTCCTCATAAACACTCACTTTCTTGGTGCATCCGCAAGCCGGGCATCGTAACCAACATGGAGTACACCAGTGCCCATACTGAAAGATCTCTTAACAGAAAGCAAGATCAAGTGGGCGATCAGTATGTTTATACCCTTCAAAATCCCAGGACATGACAAAATTGCACCTATTCCATTACAGAAATCTTTGGCTGTATGTTATATTTAAAGGATTCTACAGCCTAAATTACAAACCCAAACTATGGAGGGAATCGAAAATTGTCTTTATTCACAAATTTGGAAAGGTGTCTCATAGTGAGCCGAAAGATTTTAGACCCATAAGTCTGGCATTTTTCCTGCTTTAGGTAACGGAACGATTCATTGAGATTCGCAGTAGGTCTAATGTGGATCATAATCTCTCGATAAACGCCCATATGAAAGGCAGACCAACGGAGACAGTGCTGCAAAGGTAATATCACAAATTGAGAGATCGATCTCGATCAAAGAGTACAGCATAATTGCTTTCCTACATATTGAGTGTGCCTTCAATAATATAGCCCCAAATGCAGTTACTCTGCCCTGATTTGCTAGGTGTCGACACTCGAATGATTTCTTTTCTATGCCAAATGCTCAGATGCAGGGTTGTAAGATCTGAGGACGCAGGAGTGATGGCGCTTCGGTATGTCAGCAGAGAAACTCCACAAGGTGAAGCCCCCTCGCCTCTACTACGAGTCTTGGCAGTGAATCAACTGCTGAGATACATGGAGGAGGATGAAAGCTGCAGGGCCTGAATGGAAAGTTATAAACTACCGGCATAATAGCATCTTAAGAAAATTTCATATATCAGAAAAAAACAGATAACTGCATATTCACTGACTCCATTCACTGACTCCATGACAGATTTCAAGGTATTGTAGTTATCCCGGATAGAAACCTTTGGTCGGTGAAGGGGTTTTCTCCATGCAACTTGGTATCTATAATTTCTTTCGCCTACCGGATCACTGTATTGTTTTTCACCCAGAATTGGTGGCCATACATGAGAATGCCAATAGTCTCAGATCATTGGTCAGATCATGCCCGCACTTTGGAGGCATAGGCTGAAGTCTCTAGGGACGATTAACCTTGGGGACCTGAGAGAGATAGCGGAGGCTAAGATGCTGCAACTGCTCTATTTCGCAAGCTCTATGCACTGGTTCCATTAGCCCGTAGGGGTTTTTGGAATCCTCAGTGGTATCACAATGGGCAGATGCCCGGCAGCCACTTCAACCAACCAACCTTCTCTTTTTCTTCTGATACTTACATAATTCGGGCCACAGTTACTATACCATTTCATATATATACACGTATATATATATAGCCAATATTTTAATTACGACATTAACTGTAGAAGTAGCAAAATGGGCAAGCTGCGAAAACACAAATCAATAGTCAATTACACAAATGCCAAATGTGTCAACAAATCTCCACTTTTAGCGCCAACAAGCGGCTCACAAATGCCAACAATTGCTGAAGCCCACACAAAATCAAAGTCTTTAAGTATACATATGTACTTACTAGGGTGTCTCATTTTTTCCAACTTTTAAAATTACCTTGAAAAAATGTAATATTTCTCATAAGATCTAGAATTATTCCAGTGGCCAAAACAATCCCAGTTAGACCAAATACATGATGAAATTTTCAGGGGTTATTCGTTGTCGATCTGGGAAGTTTTAGAAGTAAAAACAAGTTCTATACTTTTTCTGAGGAAAAATCGGATAACTCCAAAAAGTGACTTTTTTCCATAAATTTTTATTTTTTTTTTATTTTTTTATTATATTGTTAATGTTTATGGTGCGGTTTACTTGAGGAGCCGGAAAACTACTTTTCTCTCCGAAAAGTGGACCGGGGGCTGACCTATTCAAAAAGTCGGAATATTCCTCTTTCGGAGAAGTGGACCAATGTCAGCGATTAAAACAAAAATGTTGTATTCCCACAAGTACTGAGTAAATAAAGTTATCATAAAATTTACCCTTTATTTCATTTTTCAAGCATTCAATTAGTATCTTATAGGGTACAGTTGGTATATTTATATGGAAAAAACAAAAGTCAGGTCATTGATTTGTCTCAATGTTAAATTGTTCAAAGCTGGACTTCTAGACTCCCTAGTATCGAGCAATGCAAGCAGCTCGACACTCGTTCGTTTTTCAACTGCTTAAATGTTTGTTTGAAATTTTTAAATTTTCAATATTGTCTGTCGAAATTTTTTTAGTATTACACTGAGTTTTTCACTTTGCACAAATAAGTTTTAAATTATAGAAAAAATTCAAATTATTGTTCAAAATTCTAGAAAAAAGTTCGAATTACTCAAGCTAGAAAATTTTCAAGCGATGAGAATAATTAAGTTTGCGAATACTCGTTGCTCAAGTGCTCGAAAATCTTCAAACAAAACCCTGACTTCTACTCCAAACATTACACAAATTTCAGGAAATTTATTAAGCGTGAATCAGCGTGCATTTGTATGGCATTTGTCCGAAAATATAAAGCAGGTACTTGATGCGATGTTTAATCTGGAAAAGTTATCCCTTCCAATGTTAAGAGATGAAGATATGAAAATAAGAGAGCTGTGTGTAGGAGACTAACGAAGGCACGCTCTATCAATAAGAAACCGTAAGAAATTTTGCCATACCGAAAATAAAATTTAAGTGCAACAATTATTATGACATGATTGAATGGCACAATGAATGCTTTTTATAATTCTATCCATTACTTTTAAGTAAAACAGAAACGACGCCATTCAAAAAAAAAAAAAATACGTGAATAATAAAAACGTTTGAGTTTCGGAAAATTTCGGTGTATGGCATCGTCTGCTGATAAGTATATGAAATTATATGAA